ACAATTTGTCATTGTATTTCATTTCACGATAAATTACGAATAAAAGTACAAATATAAATTCCCCCTAAAATTACGAGTCCCCTCTTTCCTTGACATACATATATGAAATTGGTTTTTAGAGGCAAGTTGAGATTTTGGCAACATTTCGAAACTTTGTAACCTTGCAAAATTTACACAGTTTGAAATGTTTAACGATTACTTGAAAGCTTTGAAAAAAACTTCCAAAAATTTCCAAATCTTTTATTAAATTTTGTTAATAAATATTATAAATAATTCTCTTATGGGGTCTGCCTTATCCACAACTTTATTAACTCTACGAATTTTCCATTTCGTGATAAATTTCGGCTTCCTTGACATATATGAAAGTAGTAAAATAGTTTTCTGAGGAGGCAGACTGAGATTAAAATTTCGAAAATTTGAAACGTCATACATGGTTTGAAATCCTATAAATCCTATAATTCCTATAAATCTACTATTAAATTTTTCAACTAATATTAAAAGTAATTTTGTCACGGCGTCTGCCTATTCAAAACATTTGTAATCCTACAAATTTGTCATTATGTTTCATTTCGCGATAAATTTTACCACTTCAAGATTTTAACAAAATTTCGAAACTTTATAATATTTATGCAATGCTTGAACTTTACAACGATTAAATAATCAAGAGAAACAAATCTGTTATAAATTTATTTTATTACAATAAATTATTCTCTCGTGGAGTTGGCCTCATCCAAAAACTTCTTAATTCTGCATTGCAATTCATTTCGCGATAAATTTTTCCATTTTACTGCTGAAAATTTCGTAAAATTTCGAAACGTTGTAGTCTCACAAAATTTACATGGTTTAAAATTTATAACTATTACATTTCGAAATTTAAATCTATTACTAAATTTTCTTCATAAATATTAATACCAATTCTTTCACGGAGTCTACCTCATCCAAAAATTTATTAATCCCACATTTCATTTCGTGAAGAATGTCTCCATTTTATAAATTTTTCCATTTTACTGCTGAAATTTTCGTAAAATTTTGAAACTTTGTAACCTCATAAAATTTACAGTCTAAATTCAAATTGAATTTTAGTTATAATATTTCAAATAATTCTCTCACGGCGTCTGCCTCATCCAAATTTTTTAATTCTACAAATTTGTCATTGCATTTTGTAAATTTTACCATTTCTTTTATTTATTCCGAGAGAGAAATGAGAGAGAAATGTTCACAATTTTAATTAGATTGGAATAAATTATTCCAATCTAATTAAAATTGTGAACATTTCTCTCTCCAACAAAATAACCCTTTCCTTTAAAAAAAAGAAACAAGTTAGTCTCGCATGAAACCGATACTTTGAAATCTTACACGAGTAAAGTGTCAAAAAGACACGGCGGAAGAATTCGATACTCAAAGTGTAAACCGGCGGAGGCTACAAAAATATGTACTAAAAGTACCTCCAACTCCGAAACCCTTCCCCTTCCCTTCGAAAGATTTAGTGTGCAAGGCAGGCATGCACATAAAAATGTGCAGTTGACTTATTTTACTAGGGGCCCTGCGTAAGTGATGTTGGGATTTTGACATTTTTGTGACATAACAAGGGACAGAATTTTGATGTGTATCTCGCATTTTTTTGTAGTCGTGTCTCATTTTGGGCTAGATTTCGAAAATAGGAATAATTTTTTAAAATAAAAATTGAGAACTTGATGTTTTTTGTAATTAGTTTTATTTTGATTTTATATTTTTGGAGAATGTCCTCGTAATTAATGCCAGGGCCGTTTATGCCATGTCGGGAATTACTTAGTTTTCATACTACTTCCAATTTAAATACTTCCATTACAAAGTGTAAAATGTAAACGGCTGTAATATTTTTTTTTTAGAAATTCATCATTAAATTTAGAAAAACTCAGATTCTTAAAACCCATTTGTGCTGTGTTTGTTTTGATATTTTCAACTTAATCGTAAAGTTTGATACATTTACAAATAAATACTATAATTAGTTAATGACTAAACAACAGTAAATTAAATTTTAAACTGATTCCTATTTTCAAATGTTCGTCTAAACTAATAAAAAAAATCACGATTTATTCCACGATCCTCATCCAAATTCAGCCCTTATCCCGTCCAAACTTCCATCCTCCTGCAGGGCTCCCCACTTTTCGGTATTTCCTTCCTCAAACTAAAGAATGTTGACATTTTAAGTGCTCCCAGACTTATGTTCATACATATTTCGTCGTTTTTCGTATTTAGTCAATTTTCTTTTTTTCCTTCTCACTTTCCTTTCAACGTTCATTTTAGATATATTTATAGTCATAATAATAATGCAGCCGATGAGGAGGAGAGTTTGTTGAGCATGAATTTTATGTCCCTTCTTCTTCGGGTAAATACACAATCAAGTGCTCAAAGGATTCCTTCCCTAAAAAAACTTATGACATACTAATAGCTTCCTAAACCTGCTACAAAAACGTGCTATAAATACCAAATTGTTTGGATAAAGGTTTACTTGCGTATGGACAGGGACGACAAGTAGTAATAATTTTGTAAGTAGCACTTTTTCACCGGAATTACATCCCACATTAAGATAAGAAAGAGACGGATACTTATAAAGATAAGCGGACCGGGGATACGAGAAAAGTTATGAAATTATGTGATGACCAGAGCTTCGTATATGGGTAGCAGGCAAATTATAAAAGAAATTTCAACCGAAATTTTTTTTCAAAATTCGGTTTCGTGTAGAGATCGACGAAATCATGAATGAATAAATAAAAGTTGTAGTTTATGTATATTTCCATTCGTTGTTTTAAAGAAATTTGTAATTTTTTAGAGAACGTGAAAGTTTAATGCCAGATTTCCATAATATTGGAAATATTTAAGGGTTGTGTAAATTTTAGATTTATTGGTGGACTCGTCTAATTAAGCAATTAATTAAAATCTTATCATTGCAGTTGTTACGAAATTGCAGTTATGATGAGCGAAATTATGACATCAATATACCCCCTTTGCAATATTAAGATTTGAATTGCTTAACCTGTCAACCTGTAACATGAAACCTGTAGTTGCACATTACGCTTAAATATTTATATTTTTCCGTAACGTCATCAAACTCAACAAAATGTTTTAAAAATCTTCAAAAAAATTATATTTTTTATTTCACTCAGAAAATCCCATAAAAAATCCCAAAATTTTAACACACCCTGTCTCCCATCCTTCACCTTTACCCATTCTTATTTAACATCTCATCGTCCTGATTGTCGGTGTATGTGCCATGCACTTCATACATATAAAAAGCGTGAAAAGCCATTTATTCCCTTAATAAATAAGTACATAAATGTACACCAGAATTAATACCAACACCACCCCGTCTCGTGGCGTGGCCTAAGTGAGATAGCACAATCAATTAAAAAGCTAAAACACTCTCCCCGGAAATCTCAACTCAACCCAGCTGCGATCATGTCGAAATTATGGGCTTTTAGACAAACTCTGTGAAACGAAAGGAACCAAATTTGTGGACAAAATTTCATTAAAAGTTCCAGCCTCTCTCTTGGAAGAAGAAGGAGAAGCAACAACGTGTGAAATATTCTAATTGTTCGTATCTGAGAACAGAACACCATGTAATTGCCCATCAACGGCGGAATCATTGCTGGAAATGGTGTAATAAACTGTCTTAATGGAGCCGGGCCAACCTTTTATTGAGCATTTGGTTTGCTTTCCATCCGTAACACGAATAAGTGACGGGCTGACTTGGGTACAGATGCTGGGTAATTGTTGTATGTACAATGTATGTATACGGACATATTTCAGGGGGTCAATTAGGTGTATGTATGTCCCAATACTTAATTAATACTGGGGCAGATAAGCCTAATCAATTTGGAATGGGGCCATAATGTAAGTAATTAAATCGTGGTGGTGGTGGCTCTTTTTATTAGCAAAGTGGTTAATGGAGCTATTAATTAATTACCTAAATGCCAAAGTGGGTAGGTATGAATCTCATGTAGGGTTGGAGTTCGTCATGAAATTGTACGAAATGTTGTAGTAAAAATAGATGAGATTTTGTGTACAGGATTTTTTTGATGCGGGTGTCGTTTCGGAAATTTGGTGATATTCTCGAGCACATTTACCTACATGTTTAAATTTAATTTCATATTTTACTATAATTTCGTACCGGCGTCTGACTCAAACAAAATTTAATAATAAAGGAAATAATTTTTTTTTCAGAATTTTAACCCTTGAAATCGGGTTGGATTTTTAAACAAATTTTTTAAATGTGACTGTAGTTTGGGATAACCAGCGAAATTTTTGAACACGATAGGTTGACCTATATTTAATTTTAATGTCATACATATTTTACAATAATTGCATCACGACGTCGGACTCAAACATATTTAATCTAGTAGTAGTAAAGGGAATAGTTGTTTCTCAGAATTTTATCCCTTGACTTCGGGTTGGATTTCACTTTTATCATTTGTACTACAGGTTATAGAATATGAAAAACGAAAGAGATTTTTCGATGCGGGTGTCGTTTCGGAAATCTGTTGAGGTTTTTGAACATATATTTGTCCTACTTGGATAATTTAATACCTGCATATTTAAATACTATGCCATATTTTACAATAATTTCGTCACGACGTCCGGCTTGCAAAAATGTGTTTAATTAGTTTAATAGTTTTTTCCCCGAATTTTATAAATTTTACATGATTTTTTTGCGAAAATTAGGTACATATTTTACCCGTTTTCTGGAATCACAATTCATGCAGGATAAATTTGAAACGACGAAAGGAGCCTAAACCATTCTGTACACGCGGATAATTGTTTCTATCTGTAATTAGTTAATCATGAGTCCATCGCACTATACCAAATAGCAATGTACGATTAATTTTTTCGCAAATTATTTAGTACTCATGTTCCCATCATGACGCCACAATTGTGGCCTGCATCACAATTTACCGTTCTCCATTGTTTTCGGTATTTATTCAGATTTATGTTTTATTTATCTGATTAATCTACCATTTGGATCCAGTTTCATTTCTGGTTTGATAACGATAGGATAACATGGACTCGAAACTTTTCATATTTTTGGGGCTGCTTCTCCTTCAGGTTCGAAACATTCAATTTAAGGACTTGGTTCAGAATCCCCCGTTGTAACACTCACTTTTATGCAACTTTGCTCCAACTTTGCATAGGATGGGTTGCATGCAAAATTTTCGACTCTGGTTCATTAACTGAAAAAAACTATTCGAGAAATAGATAAAATACAGTTGTTGGCCCTAAACCTCACCCGTTTCGTGTAATTCAAATTTTTTACATGCAACCCATCTTGCGCAAACCTGTGACAAAGTTGCATAAAAGTGACCTAGTGTTACCACGGGGGATCCTGAACCAAGTCCTTAATTGTAATCTAATTAATTAATTAATTTTAATTTTAATTAAATCCACATTTTAGGGAGTCGCCTCTCAAGATGAATACGAGTACGAAGAAGGTCCCGATGACGAGGACGAGTCCGCAGCGGAAGTCAATGTTCCCGTCACGACGCTAAAACCAAAGAAAAAAATCGACCACCTGAAAAACATGACGTTTTCGCAAGAATTCCAAAATCTGGCGTCGGAAGTGGACGGTAAATGATTGCAAATTGCATAAAATTCCATAAATTTTTTGCAAAATTTTGTCCCCAAAATTTTTCACCCTTTTGCAAAGATTAGTTTAGGTACTAATTTACAAAGGTTACACGGAAATATTCTGTGTTGAGAATTTTCATAATTTAGAACTGCACAGGTTCCACATCAAAATTTGTACTTGTTCAAAATTAGCAAATATTAATAATTAAGAAGATGCCTCTTGCTGATGCTTGCTGATGCCAATTACTTTTTTTACCATGTTCGATAGTGTGAAAGAATAAGTTAATTAAATTTTTATTTTTTTAAATTAAAAAAAAAATTCTAAAATAATAATAATACTTCCCAATTTTCCCCTTTCGTACCAGAAGCTGCCAAAAACCCTAACAAAACTGTTAGCGTTGTCACCACTTCGAAAAACGGTACGACCAAGGTGACCTTTACGACGCGGCGACCCCGTCCACGTCCCACCACCGAATTAAATCGTGGCCAAGAGATTGGCTCCTCGGTAAACGGGATTCTCTCCTCCGTGACAAATCTCGACATTCCGGGCATCGTGGATAACGCTCTCAGCATTCGGAACAATGAACCCGTCAGAGAATTCGTGACGGGACTTATGACGGCTATATTTTGCTCCCCGTTTTTAAATAATTTCTCCACGTGTGGCGGAAGGTAAGGAAAAAATGGTTAAGGTGGAATAATGCTGGCATAGATTTTAAGTCTCACTCTACCTCTTAGGAAAAGGGGTAGAGTGAGACTTAAAATTTATATATGCCAATGTCTTTAGGTGCAAATTTCTAAAATGGCAAGTTTGGTGGATAAGTTTTTGAGTTGCGCTTGCGACTAGTGATCTCAACGGTTCTCGGTTCTCATAGAACCGAACCGGAACCGATGGCTCGGTTCGGTTCCGGTTTATACGGAGAACCGAACCGAACCGAAACTTTTATTACCGGTTCGGTTCCGGTTCCAAGTCTTAGAGAACCGAACCGAACCGGCCGGTTCGGGTTGAACCGAACTACATACATAAATACATTAGCGAAGTTGATCATATTTCCGAAAAAGTTTTACGAATTTCCCGAAATACACCTAGTTTCGAAAATGAAATTTTGACGTGGCCGTACCTCCAAAGTTCCCAAAATGAAATTTTGACATGGCCACACCCCCCAAGTTACCCAAAACGAAATTTTGACCTGGTTACAGTTACATCCACAATGTTTGCAAAACCAAATTTGGACTTGATGACACCTCCAAAGTTTCCAAAATGAAATTTTCACCCCCAAAGTTTCCTAAACGAAATTTTTACCCCCAAAAGTTTCCGAAATGAAATTTTGACGTGACTGCACCCCAAACTTTCCAAAATGAAATTTTGACTTGGTTACACCCCCCATGTTTCCAAAATGAAATCTTTACTTGGTCACACCCCAAAGTTTCAAAAATGAAATTTTGACTTGGTTACACCCCCAATGTTTCCAAAATGAAATTTTTACTTGGTCACACCCCAAATGTTTCAAAAATGGAATTTTGACTTGGTTACACCCCCTATGTTTCCAAAATGAAATTTTTACTTGGTCACACCCCAAAGTTTCCAAAATGGAATTTTGACTTGGTTGCACCCCAAACTTGGAATTGTTTTCTAACTTCAATAATACATACATAAGTGGTTTTGCTGTTGACATGTGTTAGAATTTGCTTGTTTAAATACAGATAAGTTATTGGCTTGTATGTGAAATTTCATCAGAAACACGTGAATTAGCATTGTTTGTTGTTTATTGCATATTAATAACACTACCGGTTTGACCCGAACCGCCGGTTCGGTCACGGTTTGGTCCGGTTCCGGTTCGGTTCCAGCTAAAAAAAGTTCGGTTCTGTTTCGGTTCTTCAATTCTGGTTCTCGGTTCCAAACCGGTTCTTCCAAGAACCGAACCGAACCGCACCGTTGAGACCACTACTTGCGACATATCTGACAAAATATATTTCGTTTCATAATTTCTCAAAAAACTTGTAACGGCGTTCAAGTCCGGTGATGGAAATTATTTTTAATAGATTTTTAATCTCACCCTATTATTCCAATTCAATATCTTTAAATGCAAATTTCTAAATGGCAAGTTTAATAAAGAATCTAAAAACTTAGGTCTTATTTAATTTCTCAGAAAACTTGTAATGGCGTCTAAATTCAGGGATGGAATTTATTTTTATTTAAAATTTGTTACAAAAAGATTTGTGCATGATGGGAATATTTAAAATTAGTCATGAAATTGTAATTCAGGAGTCGAAATTGATTCCAGCTTTATATCAAAATTTTTTAAACTGCTATGGAAAGTCTGAAATATCTTGCAAAATTACATCGCTTTCACTTTTCTAAAAAAAAAACTTGTACTGGCGTTCAAGTTCGGTAACGTAAATTATTTACATTAAAATTGCAAGAGTTTTTAGATAAATTCAACTATTCATACTTTAATTTATAATAAAGATAATATTTGGCTGACAAAACTGACGATTTGACAAAAACGGCTAATTCATTTGCCATTTTTCACAATAAATTTCCTCAAAAATAAATTCTCTTATTTTTTCGAATCAATTGTCTTGCATTGCCAAAAATTAACTTCACATTAAAGTATCAAAAGTTGAATTTATCTGAAAACTCACGAAATTTATGGCACTTTAGAAATTTGTATTTGAAGACATTGAGTAGGGGCTGAGTGAGATTGAAAATCTATGACACATCAAATCTTTTTCCGTATTTCACCTTAATTACTAATTACATTTTCAGTTTTTTTGAAAAATTTGCATTTTTTCACAGATTGGGCACGAATAACAATAGTAATCGAAGACGCACCAAACCAAAACCTGCCCCTGTTCAAGAAACGCCGGCAGAAGTGGTACCAGCACCCGCCGTGGCTTCAGCGGCTCGATAAGCGTCAAATTATTTATTTACAATTTGGCCTAAAAATATCTATTTAACAAAATTATAACAAAGGAACAACTGACCTTAATTGTGTAATTAACTGATTGCACGATGCATTAAAACGTATAAAGACTTCCAACTTTGTCAAATAAAAAAAATTCTTATAATCTTTAGACAACTTTTTGCAAAATTATTTTCCGACTGCTTGACATTTAAGCACGTAATTGTCAATTTATTTACATTTATTTGGTCTAAAAATATTCATTGAAAATATAAATTAAGCCCGGAGAAACTAATCATCTAAATACTGTTAAAAAAAAATTTTGCATAATGCGTAAACACGCATGCAGACTTCCAACTTTGTCAAAATTATCACTTACGATACGGATACGGAATGAATCTACATATGGTTTACGTATAACAACTGTATCAAAAATAATTTCCGACGTGAAGAAACACATTTAATTTCTTGTCAAATACTTCAAGGGTTGTAAACTGTGTAAGTAAAGACAACTTTTTGCAAAATTATTTTCCGACTTCTAGATATTTAACCGTATAATTGTCAATTTATTGACGTCTATTTGATCTAAATATATTTATTGAAAAACATACATTCAACCTAAAGATCTAACAATCCTGCACGACATATACAAATGCATACGGACTTCCAACTTTGTCAAATTCTTAAACAATTCACTCTAAGGTTTGTATACTGTGTAAATAAATAAATACAACTTTTTGCAAAATTATTTTCAGATTGCTACATATTTAAGGGCATAATTGTCAATTTATTTACGTCTTTTGGCCTAAGAATTTATTGAAAACAAATTAATACCTCAAGAACTCCACACCGGATGAACTAATTAATTAACCGGTCTTGTACGATACGCAAAAATGCGTACAGACTTCCAACTTTGTCAAATAATAACACAATTCACTCCGAAGTTTGTAAACTGGGCAAATAAATGAATACAACTTTTTTTTAGCTTATTTTTACACTGCTGAACATTTACCTAAGCAAAATTGTCAATTTATTATGTCTATTTGGTCTAAAATTATTTACTGAAAAAATGAATTCAACCTAAATTGTGATCTAAATAATGTTACGATCTTGCTCGATAAATTAAAATCCATACAGACTTTCAACTTTGACAAATACTACCACAATTCACTCCAAGGTTTGTAAACTGTGTAAATAAATACAACTTTGACCTAAAGTATTTCCAGACTGAAAAATACAAAACAAAGAGACGCCCTTGATCAGAATAAGTTTCACAAGCACCCCCGTTAATTTAATTATCAATTAAATCCTCCATTAAAAAATCCCCTTTAAACAAACCTGCAAAAATCCAAAAATTTTCTCCCGTGCCAAAAAACATGAGATAACTCCTCATTTTCATAAGTACATGTACTTAGCCAACCCTAATTCTGATATCATCTGCATACTCAACTCATCATTATTTTTGCACATGTTACCCATCCATTTACATACATACTTATGCAAATACATGGTTGTTGATGTTGGCAAAAAGTCAGGACGCGATAACGATAATTGGGTGCGAAATCATTAAGTCGTCGCTTTTTAGATGTAGATTTGTTTTGCAAAATCCGTAAATAAATCGGATCCAATAGACACATTTTCGAGGATTTGGAGGCTGTCTGGTCTGGTGCCACCCTGTAAACGGTCTCACTTAGCGGAGGACTTATGAGCCCATTAGAGCCCTAAAAAGTTGGTATTTTTCTCATAATAACTTTTTATCTGTGCTCAATACCGAAATGAATGATTCGCCTGAAACGTATGTACAAATACACATTTCCATGCAGGCAGACTTTTCATCCTCATCCGTTCATGAATTATGGGCTCAATTATCATCAGAGTTTAAGGAAGTGGAAGGAAAAAGAAGAAGGAGACGAAAGTATGTACACTTTCCATTTGAGACTTGCAGACAGTCGTCGTCACTTTCTTTACACAAATTCTACCCTAGACTTGTCTCCACTCTAAATAAGTTTGGGATAAAATTGGGGGTTTTCATTTGGGATGTAGTACGTAAACTTGTAGAAATTGGTGTAGTTTTGCAGATTTTTAAGGATCCGAAGGAATTGTGCCATAATTTTGATTTTTAAATGGGTTAAACTAGCCCAAATCTAATTTAGATTAGATTTAGTCCAATTCATTAGATCCAGTTTAGTCCGGACAGACGAAACAGTAATGTGACGAAATTTGACAAAATTTTTGGAAGTTAAAAAAAAATTCGAAAAACATATCGACACCCACAATATTGGATCTTTTGACATTTTTCGCGTTAGAAATGTATCCAAAAACTCACTTCTGACGTCGAGACAAAACAGTAACGCACAAAACTTACTTTACTTTATTCCAAACAACCGAGGTGGTATTATTTAATTTTTTCAATCGTTTAAGCTACCCCAGCCAGACCCAATGTTTATAATGTTATGACGAAATACCTTCTTGGCTGAGGATGAACTTCTTCGACCTGTTTGAATTTATGGATATGAAATTTCTTGAAAAAGCGTTTCCGACTTTCTTAGCTTACAACTGAGCTCTCTCACCCGTGTTTTTTGCTCCACAACAATTACTCTACTAAATAAATTTAAATTCTGCACATTGAAATTCTTTAGAAACAATTAATTTCCCCATCCTGGTGAAAAAAAGTCTAATAAGGAAATTTTCGTACCAAAATTTCCCTAAAAATTCTACCCCCACATTATTTACGGTGCATAATATACCCACATATTTAACAAACTACACTCATTTACTTGTCTTCCGGTCAAGTTTCGCCTCGGTAAAAAGGGTTTGATGATGCATTTCATTCACAATTTTTCTAGCCCTTCTTCCTCCTCCTTATCTGGTCCAAAGGGGAGACTGAGACTCTGGATGGCAGAGTAAAAGTCTATGTACATTTTCTCCTCATTTTTAGATTCTGGATCGGAGGAGGAAGTGAGAATCCCGTCTCCGAAAAAATCTTCGTCTCTTCGTCGGCCGTGTAATGGATCGATCTTCACGAAGGAGATGATCCACCACATTTTCCTAACGTACGTAGCACAAAGTCCATTATTCCTCAGCCGAGAATCTCGCTACTTTAAGTCCCGTTTATTTACTGGCAGTATTATTTTTGTCTTATCTCCCATAGACAAAACTTCCTCTCTTTTAGAGAGGGTCAAAATTCATCAATATCACAAAGATAAGTGTGTTTACAAGGATTTCATTATTATCCAAAATTCATATGTACCGTTCGTTCATGACATTAAGAAAATAAGGGTACACGAATTCATTCATTTAAAAACCCTAAAATTAACTGTTTTAATAGATGTTCATTCATTAAAATATGAATGAGTTGTTATATGTAGTTAGTGTTTAAATGATACACAGTTTGTACTGTAAGTAGTGTGACGCCTGAGATGAGGCGTCACTTTGGGTAAATGTGTGACCTTTATCTATACTACGGAGGCACATCTTTGTAGTTTGTATATATTTATTGTACTCGTGTGGTCAGTCAGTGGGGACGAAAAATGAGACAAATCCTCCCTTTGTCTAGCAAAAATCTCAACCAAACGAGTCCCCATAAAATTCCAAATTGTGCATGGGATACTTGATTCGGTGAACAGATCACGATTTAATTCGTGTCCTTCATAACACTTGGGACAATTTCTGAAATTTCAACAAACATTTTGTCACAATTAACCCCCCACAATTTCCTACTCGCTAAAAATCCTGTACATTTCAAACGATACAATGTTTCTCAACCTGCCTCGTCATTCCTCCCCTCAACAATTCATTATACTTTCACTTCATCCCTCCCTCCCCACACTAATTATCCTCTTTTTAAAAAATAAAAAAGGTGTTTATATATTCCCTCCCCTTAAATACAAAAGGTGTCATCACATCAAATCACTTAACGCTTTTTAACAAAAAAAAATCTCCATAAAACTGTGATCAATCTCACTCTCAGTTTCTCACTGTGACAAATAAAAAAAAACTTTAAAAAAAACACAACCAACCGATCCGTGGACAGATGAGACGAGTTGCCAACCAAATGGCGAGGAGGTGAAATCAGTCCCACTTTTATCTTTATCCTCCCGTGATGATAACCATGCCATGTGTGTCCCTGTGACAAATAAATTGCATCTTTAACCACCACCACCCGCTCGACAATTACGTATTGTTGTCACTGTAATTGTAAAATTCTTCAATTCAAGGGTTTCATTTCGTTTCATTCAATCCATTTTATTTTATCTTTGTCATTCTCTCGAATCATTTATCTTATTGTGGACCGTGTTAAAAGTAAGCAAGTTGCGTATGGCAGTCACCACCACCGTTATTTAGGCTGGAAAGGAGCATTAAATTAAAGAGTGGTGACAAATTGTAACGGAAATAAGTAACTTGTAATCAGTGTCAATCTGATCCGAGAGAAAAATTTTGTTACATTTTCAGCTCGATTTTGACGGCTTTTACGAAAAAAATATGATATTTACGCAATTAAACAGGAATAGTAGATGTCGATTTCCCTTTGTATTATTAAGTGATCAAGAAGTTTTTGGGAATTTTTAATTTAAAGAATTTTTAATTTAAAAAAAACTACAACGTATTTTCAGTATCAATCTGATCCGATAGAAAAATTTTGACGTATTTTTGGTGGATTTTGACGACTTTTATGAAAAAAAATTATAGTTAACTAATTGAACATAATAAAAGATTCATATTCCCTTGTAGACTAAAGTACAAGGTGTCCGGGAATTTCCTATTTAAAAAACCGGACCTTATTTTTAATTATTTTAATTGCATGAGTAACGGACAAAATATAAGCAATCCAGCTTTTTAATCAAGTACAAATATTTTATTTTTAAGCCATATTTAGCAAAATTGCGTACCATGATTTCAATTTTAATTAGATCAAATATGAGAATTACACAGTTGAAAAAATAATTAGTTATCAATTTTCAAAATAAAGAATTTTGAAAAATTTTAATAAAGAATTACAACTAATACTTTTACACATAAATATTTTTGTTCACCAAGTTTTTACTTCACACAAAGTCCAACGCCTTTGCAAAACTAAATTTATATCTGATAAAGGCTAAAGGTATAAAGATAAAGGTATAAAGATCAGTCTGACATGAATTATTTGATCAAATAATTACATCAATGTAAAATTA